GGGGCGCCGGCCGCCGCCCGCCCCAGCCCCGCCCCTGCCCCTGACCACTGCCATGGCGGGCGCCGGGCCGGGGGGCTACGCGGCCGAGTTCGTGCCGCCCCCCGAGTGCCCGGTCTTCGAGCCCAGCTGGGAGGAGTTCACCGACCCGCTGAGCTTCATCGGCCGCATCCGGCCTCTGGCCGAGAAAACTGGCATCTGCAAGATCCGGCCGCCCAAGGTACCGCGTCAGGACGGGGAGAAGGGAGAGCGCTGGCCTCGCCCTGGTTTCTGCTCCTTCCGCCCTTGGGTAACGCTCGCGTCGCCACAGCCGGAGGCGAAGTTTCTGATGTTTTCTTTTGTGGTCTTACGTGGGCAACGTCCGAACGCGAGAAGCTGCTCTCTCTGTGGCCTTTTCCGCCTGGAACTTGGGAACTCATACTTTTTTCTGGATCCCGGGAGAGGGAACAAAGGGCCTTTGGTTGGCCGGTCAGATGTTTTAAGTATATGACATGATACGTGCTGCCTTCGTGGACAGTCCTCTTTGTGGTCCACTAGTAAAAGCTGCCCCTCGTCAGCTGTTTGTCTCCCTAGGCCCTGCCGATGCCTAGTTGATCACGTATTTGCAGGGCTCGTCTCTGGGTTAGGGTTTCTTTAAAGGTAATCGGAGCTCCAGTTGTCCCCCAGGATGGGATCACCGGAGACCTCCGGAGTAATTACTGCTGCAGTGAAAAGTCTTCCCCGGGGGAAGAAAAGGTGCAGCAGCTTCTTTGTTTTTGTTTTCTCTTTTTAATTTTAAGATTCAGGGAGGGTTAGTCAATAATAGAGGTGGAAGGAAACATGGCAATTTCTTGCTCTACGGAAACACGGATAGAAAATTTTAGGATAGCACTTAGTCTAAGTAACTAGGTTTGCCTACTAGGTTAATCATAATCCTTAATCCTTAAGGTAAGGAAAGCAGATGTACTGCCTTGTATGGGGAATTAACGCCCCAAGTCGTTGAGTGTTACTCTCAAGGTCAAAAGGTTTTTTTCCCTTTACTCATTAGACCAGTGTTTCCCACATGATAGTGTTGGACCATCTGCACCAGAGTCACCTGGATGCTTGTTAGAATGTAGATGCCTGGTCCTTACTAAGAGCAGAATACATTTCTGGAACTGGATGTTCTGAAACCTGCTTTTCTAGCAATTATTATCAGATGTTTCTTAATGCATATTTAAACTTTCCAGCCATTGCGTTGGACACTGCTTAAAGACACCTTGTTCTATGTCTCGTCTGGAGTAGAACAGGTGAGATTGCGATTAGAAGGCATTTGCCCTAAGCGCAGCCTACCACAGGGACCTGCGCTACTGAGTTAGGTAAAAGCTTGCCCTGGAGGGAGAAGGAGCAGCTGATATAGCACTTAGAGGGTATTTCATTTGTCTATGAATCCCTAATAGGTAAATAAAGTCCACAAATGAGGCAAGTCTGAGATGAGTAAAATATTTGATGTTTGATCTCGGGCAAGTGCAAAGTAGATTTTGAACCTAGCTCAATTTTTGTGATTCTGAAACATACTTGCTATTCTCACTGTGCTGAATGGATTTAATTACAATTACAGACTCTCTCTTTTTATTTATTTATTTATTTATTTTGAGATTTTTGCTTTAGAACATGTGTGCTCTGCCGGGGCTGGGACTTGAACCATGGCCAGTCATGTGGGAGTCCAGCATCTTAACCATCATGGCACCTGTTGGTCCCAGACTCTCAATTTTAAGGAAAAGGATTAACAGTTACTGTGATGATTTGTATTGCCATCTCTCACTACCTCTTTTAAAAAGTTTTGCTCAAGGGCATATGTACTTACTGGAAAGAAATAGTGGCAGAGGAGAGAGGAGTGGGGGGAAGTAAGAAATGACCCCCACCCCCACCCCTTGCTTCCAGGGGATGCCTATGACACAGTCTCTTCTGCTCCATTTTCCTCTCTGGATTTTGGGCAGGCATGCACATGTGCCAGATGTGTTTTTCAAGTCACCAGGTCTGGGATTTGAAGCCTCCTTTGGTCTTGTGGGATCCAACCACCTTAACCACCATGTCACCAGCTGGCCCCACTTAATTTTTTTTCTATCAGAATGACCTAGTATCGGCAAAACTTTTAAGCACTGAAGTTTTTCCTAAACCATGCATTTCTCTACTACATTGTATTTATTCATTTGAAATTCTGTACAGGGTTCCTTTTGATTAAAATCTTAATTGTTTATTTAAAAATGGTGAAATACCTTCTCTTTGCCATCTTATTGACAATAAATCTTTTTTACAAGTAGAATTTTAAATAATTTTAGAGAGTTTTTTTTTTTTTTTTTTTTTTGCTATAGGACACACGTAGTCGCCAGAGAAACAGAGAGAGGGAAAGTGAGAAATCAACCACTGGAGAGATGGCCATGCTGTAATTTCTTCTGCATTCTCCTCCTGGGATTTTGGGCATGTAAGCATGAGTTTCAAACCTGGGGACCAGGACTCAAACTGTGGTCGGTCATGTGGGAGTCCAAGGACATAACTGCTATGCCAACTGCTGGCCCCACGATAAAAAGAATTGTAAGCTAACCTATTGTCACCGTGATTTGTGGCAACTCAGCCTTTGAATTAAGAGAAAAAATAGTACATTCTTGTTTATATGCCATAGTGTTTTAAAGAAAAATTTTTTATATTTAGGATTGGCAACCTCCATTTGCATGTGAAGTAAAAAGCTTTCGTTTCACTCCGAGAGTCCAGCGTCTGAATGAACTTGAGGTGAGTGTTACAATATCTGATTTTATATATATATGTGTGTGTGTGTGTGTGTATTAGGTACAGGGTAAGTGCACTCACCTGGGGGGGGCGGGGAAGAGAGACAGGAAAGCATGCCCCAAAGGGGATGACCACTTCACTATCCCTTTTCCTCCATTTTCCTCTTGAGATTTTAGGTACACATACACATAGACAGACCAGCATGTTTTTCTGTCTGCCAGGTGGGGATTTGAACTGAATGGTGGGACATGTGGGATCCAGCCAGCAAATCAGTATGCCAGCCAACTAGCCTTCTTTTTGATTCATTCTTTTTTTTTTTTTTCTTTTTTTGGAGAGGTTTTCGCTGTAGGGTGCATGTGCTTGCCAGACAGAGAGAGAGACATAGATAGAGACAGAAAGCGAGAAATCACCCCCCAGGGGGGATGGTCACGCCGCAATCCCTTCTCCATTTTCCTCTCGGGATCTTGGGCATGCACGCACATGCGCCTGGCGTGAGTTTTAAGCCACCGGGTCTGGGACATGAACCTCGGTCGACTATGTGGGAGTCCAGCTACATAGCCATTACGCTAACTGCTGTTTCCCCTTTTGATTCATTCTTTATGTCAGGTCTCTACTCTAGCCAGAGACCGTTGAGAAGCTTATGTACCAGATCTAGACTTTATGTTAATTTGAATTGACTGGAATAGTTACTTGATATGTAGAGGAAGTAATTCGACTTTTAAAAAAAATGTTTTCTTTAGTTTTCTTTATTTTAATTTGACGGGGAGGGGGGGAGGGGAGGGAGAGAGAAAGCGAAAAAGCAAACCTCCAGGTCCAGGACTCAACAACCATGCTCAGCCATGTGGGAGTCTAGTGCCCTTAACCACCATGCCACCTGCTAGCCTGCCCTGGTATGTTTTATATATATATGTGTGTGTGTGTATATATACATATATATATATTTAAGAAAGTTATTTTATTTCTTTATTTTATTTGATCAGAGAGAGACAGAGAGAGGGAAAGCAAGAACGGAAGTGACCAGACACAGGACTCAAACCATAGTCAGCTGTGTGGTAGTCTAGCACCTTAACCACCACACCACCTACTGGCCTCGACCCCTGGTGTGTTTTCTTAAGCTGCTGGATCTAGGATTCAAACTGCATAGTAAGCTGTGTGGGGTCTAGCTGCCTGAACCACTGGCTGGATGAAGCTTTTGACTTTCTTTAGAGAAATAGTACCTGGGGGCTGGCGAGGGCCAGTGGTTAAGGTGCTGGACTCCCACATGGTCCATCGTGGTTCAAATCTCAGACTTGGCAACTTGCTTCCTCACTTTTCCTTCCTGTCTTTGGTCTGATTAAGAAATACTAATAATATTAGTAACAAATAGAATGAAATTTTTAAAAAGTACCTGTATATCTCATATTTATTTATTTTCAACCATAACTTAGTTCCTAGTCTTGATTTCTGCTTTTTAATTCTCTCAGGCAATGACTAGAGTGAGACTGGACTTCTTGGATCAACTAGCAAAATTTTGGGAACTTCAAGGATCCACTTTGAAGATCCCTGTGGTAGAGAGAAAAATCCTGGATCTGTATGCTTTGAGCAAGGTGAGACATGTACTTGGGTTAGAAAATGGACCAGAAGGTTGTGAAATTCAGATAAATGGGGATTTCAGATAAACTTGGTGGAAACCATTGCTTTTCATGTAGGATTTGTTTGGTGATGAAATGCTACACATATGGATAAATGGAAATGATGGATCTCAAAGTACCTTTTAACAGCTCATCAGTTCAAGGCTAGCCTGGATGACATAGCAGTACCCTGTCTCTTTAAAAAAAAAAGTTGTTTTTATTTTATTTTTAGAGAATTTTTGCTATAGAGCATTTGTGCTTGCTGGAGATACAGAGAGACAGAAAGCGAGAAATCACTCCCCAGGGTGTATGGCCATGCTGCAATCGCTTTTCTTCCATTCTTCTCTGAATTTTGGGCATGCATGCACGTGCACCTAGCATGAGTTTTAAGCCACGGGTCTCGGACTCGAACCATGGTCAATTATGTGGGAGTCCAGTGATATAACTGTTATGTCAGAGGCTTTCTGCCTCTCTGTCTCTCTCTTTCTAGTGAGGGCATGCGCCCTATAGCAAAAACCTCTCCGCCAAAAAAAAAATTTCCCTCTTACGGGAGAAGGAGGATCTCATGCTGTTTTTCTCCCTCCACGCCAACCTTCCAGCCAGTGGGAATCGGTGTGTGTTTGCACACCATTATGTATACAGGTTGACTAAGGATTTTAACCCCCATCGTCCGTATGGCCTCAAGCATTGCAGCATGTTACAGTACTGCAGTATCACTTACTACTGTGGTTGGGCCTTATGTACTATTTAGAAATAAAAATTTATTCACATCTAAATTGCATAGTTGGGTCAGTAGGTGGCGCAGTGGTTGGGGCACTGGATTCCCACATGGCTGAACATGTTTGAGTTCTAGACCTGGTGGCTTGCTTTCTCACTTTCCCTTTCTCTCTCTCTCTGGTCAAATTAAAAATAATAATAAATAAAATAAAATAAATAATTCTTAAATATTAAAAAAAAAACATAAATATATTACAAAATTAATTTTGGAAGGTTTCAAGCAAAAAACTAGAGTAATAATCATCAGGTTGCCTGGTCCAGGACTGGAACCACTCAGTTGGCCACGTGGGATCCAGTGACCTTAACCCGTTTGAGGTGTTCTTTAGGGTGACCCTACTGGTCCCAGCACTTTAGGGTGCTAGTGTTACCACTTTACACAGTGGTTGGACCTGTGATACGTTTTAAAAATTAGTGTCAGGTCAGAAATCTTGCACTAAAAATTCTGTTATGTGCAATCCTAAGTTGAAATCCAGCTCCACGTGTTTTTTTTTGAGAGAGAATTTTTTTTTTTTGTTGGTTTTTGTTTTTGTTTTTTTTGCTATAGGGCACATGTGCTTGTCAGAGAGACAAAAAGCGAGAAATCCCCCACCTGGGGGTGGGGGGAGGCGGATAGCCATGCTGTAGTCCTTTCTCCATTCTCATCTCGGGATTTTGGGCACACGTGCACACACACATGTGCATATGCACCTGGTATGAGTTGAAGCCGCTGGGTCTACGACTTAAACTGGTGGTCAGCTATTTGAGAGTCTAGCAGTGAAACCATTACTCCATCTACTGGTTCTTTTTTTTTTTTTTTGGGAGAGGTTTATTTCTACAGGGCACGTGTGCTCGCCACAAAGACAGAGAGATAGAAAGCGAGAAATCACCCCCCCAGGGGGGATGGCCACGCCGCAGTCCCTTCTCCTCCATTCTCCTCTTGGGATCTTGGGCATGCACGCACATGCGCCTGGTGTGAGTTTTTTAAGCAACCAGGTCCGGGATGTGAACCGCGGCCGACTACGTGGGAGTCCAGCGACATAGCCATTACGCTAACTGCTGGTCCCTGAAATTGATAATTTCTATTCAGTGATTTCCCAGTTAAAAGGTAAATTCTAGGGCCCAGCCTCCGAGTGTTGTGGGCACTTACACTCTGGGTTGAGGCCACACAAGAGCTCTGGGTTGGATACCTGTCCCACCCTAAAAAGTTAGGTATGGTGGCATGTGCCTGGAGTCCCAGTTTTGGCAGGCTGAGGCAAGAGGAACTTGACACAGGAGACCTTATCTGTAAAAAAAATCACCCCGTACATGGATGTGCATGCACAGGTGAAATGCTCACACGAGTAAGCAGTAAACACGTTTAATCCGATGACAAGTAAGATTGTGTTTCTGTTTTTCTAGTTTCAGAATCTGAATTCCTAGTTATTCACAATTGGTTTAACTTTTGTTATTCAGATTAACTCCATTTTGAGAAACCCAACTCATTTTTGTTAAAAACAGGAATGCATAGTAAATATTTAGAATAAATAGGACTAGCAGGTCACATGGTGGTTTAGGTTCTAAATCCCACAAAGCTGACTAAAGTTCGAGTCCCGGACCTGGTAACTTGAAAAACACACCAGATACATATGCGTGCGTGCCCATAATCCTCAGAAAGAGTGGAGGGAAAGGGAATATGGGGTAGTCGTTCTTCCTGGTGGGTGATATCGTTCTTTCTTTCTCTGTTTTTCTCTGGCAAGTGCATGTCTCTTTGGCAATAGTCTTTTTCTATGTGTTTTTTTTTTTTTTTTAAATTCTAATTTATTTATTTATTTAAATTGACCAAAGAGGGATAAAGTGAGAGAGGGAGAGATGAGAAAGCAAGTCTCCAGATACAGGACTCAAATTGTGGTTGGCCATGTGGGAGACTTGCACCCTTAACACCATGCAACCTGCTGGCACACACACACACACACAAAGGTTTGGGACCCTTTTCTAAATGGGATCAGACGTATTTTGGATTATTATATTTTTTTTTTTTTGAGTTTTGAATATTTGCATATACATAATAAGATATCTTGGAAATAGGATCTAAGTCCAAACATGAAATTCATTTATGTTTCATGTACCTGTTATACACATAGCTTGAAGGTTTGGTACTTACTATGTTTTATTTAATTTGTTTTCACAATAACTTTATCTTTTTATTTTTTTGAGAGGTTTTTGCCATAGGACGCAGGCAATCGCCAGGCAGACAGAGAGAGACAGAGAGACAGAAAGCAAGAAATCACCCCCCAGGGGGGACGGCCATGCCGCAATCCCTTCTCCATTCTCCTCTTGGGATCTTGGGCACGCGTGCACACGCGCCCGGCGTGTGCTTTAAGCCACTGGGTCTGGGACGCGAACCGCGGTCGACTGCATGGGAGTCCCGCGACATAGCCATTACGCTAACTGCTGGTCCCACAATAACTTTATCTTACTAATTTTTTTTTCTTTTTTTGGAGAGGTTTTTGCTATAGGGCGCTCGCCAGACAGACAGAGAGAGACAGAGAGACAGAAAACGAGAAATCACCCCCCGGGGGGGATGGCCACGCCGCAATCCCTTCTCCATTTTCCTCTTAGGATTCTGGGCACATACACACATGCCCCCGTGTGAGTTTAAGCCATCAGGTCCGGGACTCGAACCGTGGTCGACTATGTGGGAGTCCAGCAACATAGCCTTTACACTAACTGCAGGTTCTATTTTATTAATTTCTTTGAGAGATCTTGCTATAGGGCACATGTGCTCACCAGAGAGACAGAGACAGAGAAAGCATGAAATCACCTGCCGGGGCATGGCCATGCCACAATCCCTTCTCTCCCATTTTCTCTCGGAATTTTGGGCACACATACACGTGCGCCCGGCATGAGTTTCAAGTTACTAGGGCCAAGACTTGAACCGTGGTTGGCTGTGTGGGAGTCCAGCACCTTAACTGCCATATCATCTGCTGGCCCCCACAATAACCTTATAATGAGGATAGGTACTGTTATTTTTTAGTATTTTAATCATAATGAGGAAACTGAATCTGAAATTCTGTAACTTATACAGGATTATCTATTACATGACAACTGGAATTTGAACAATGACACTGGTTTCAGTCATTTTTCTTAGTCCTTTAAATTATAAAATACACATAATGTAAAATTTACTGTTTTTTTTCAAAGTTTTTGCCCTAGAGCATGTGTGCTCACTGGAGAGTGACAGAGAGACAGTGAAAAGGAGGTGAGAAATCACCCCCCCAGGGGGCATGGCAGTACCTCAGTCCATTTTCCATTCTCTTTGTAGGATTCTGGGCACACACGCAAACATGCCAGGTATGATTTTCAAGCTGCTGGGTGCATGAGTCGAACCATGGTTGGACATTGTAGGAGCCCAGCACCTTAACCACCATGCCCCCTACTGGCACTGTAAAATATATTATTTTAATCATTACAAAAATATTTTGTTAAGGACACTGAACTCCCACCTGGCTGACTGCAGTTTGAATCCTGGACCTAGCAGCTTGCTTTCTCACTTTTTTCTCTCTCTCTCTGTCTCTCTCTGGTCAAATTAAAATTAATAAGTAAAGATACAAATAAATAAATAAAGTTAAGTAAAATAATTCTTAAAATTTTTTTTTTGTTTTTTCTAATTGCCAAAGGATGCTTCTGCTCATCAGAGATGACAAGAGGGAGAGAGGCAGAGAGAGACATCTGGGGGTGGGTATGGTTGGAAGTAGAGGGAAGGAGAAAGCTCCTCAGGTGGGTGTAGACATGCTATAATCTCTTCTCTCTCCTGTCTGAATTCTGGGCACGCACATTTGCAAAGCGCATTTTCAAGTTGCTGGGGCTGGAATTTGAACTGTAGGTCCACGTAGGATTCAGTTCCCTTAAACACTATCCTGTAGAGCTGGCCTTAACAAGTTTTCTTTATTTTTTTCTTTTTCTTTTTAAATAGGTTTTTGCCAGATAGAGAGACAGATAATGAGAAGAAAATTGAGAAATCACCATCCAGGGGGTATGGCAATGCCACAATCCCTTCCCATCTATTTTCCTCTTGGGATTTTGAGCACACACACATACACGCCCCTTGCGTGATTTTCAAGCCACTGGATTCAGGACTTGAACCGTGGTCGGCCATGTAGGAGTCCAGCAAAGTAACCACTATACCATCTGCTGGCCCCCTTAATCAGTTTTAAATGTAGCAGTAAGTACAGACATCACCACTATTTTTAGAGTTTCTTTGCACCCCACCCTGTAAACTCTAATATATTTTCTGTCTCTGAGTCTGCAATTCTGGGTGCTTTATTTATAAAAGTGGAATCATACAATATTCATGTTTATGTGTTTGGCATATTTTACATATCTTACTGTTTTCAAGGTTCATACGTGTAGCATGTATCAGAATTTCCTTTTTAAGAGTGAATGATACTCTATTGTTTGTGTAATACCACACTTTATTTATCTGTTGACAGACATTTTGGTTGTTTCTGTTTTTTTTTTTTTCCCCAAGAGGTTTTTGCTATAGGGTGTGTGTGCTCACCAGAAAGACAGAAGAGACAGAGTGACAGAAAAGCAAAAAATAACCCACTGGGGGGATGGCCATGCCGCAATCCCTTCTCCATTCTCCCCTTGGGATCTTAGGCACGCACGCACACACGCCTGGTATGAGTTTAAGTGGGACTCGAACTGTGGTCAGCTACATGGGAGTCCAGCGACATAGCCATCACACCAACTGCTGGTCCCTGTCTCTGTACTTTGACTCTTGTGGATACTGTCGTTGTGTTTGCATGTACCTATCCACTTGAGTCCCTGTTCTCAGTTCTTTCAGTGCCTGACTTGATGTGAGCGTGTAGGCAAGTTAGCAAGTTTATCTCATTACTTTCTACCTTAATATATTCTGTCCCATATACCACTAAATCTACCACAGTCTGATCTTTCCCACCATTCCTTTATAATCTTCCATATAAAACTTCTGTTTTGAAAAACCATAGGCTTTTTTTTAGAACCACCCTATGAATTTATGATTTGCTTGTCATTTTTTAAGTTCCATAAGTTTATTGGTTTATTTTTTATTTAATTGTAGAATTTATCTTAATTTTGTATTATATAATTTATGCTTGTGGTCATGTCTATTTTTGTTTTTTATTCATATTTTTCAAATTGTGAGTCTTTATTGGGTGTATGTGTGTTTAGTTTTCTCACTAATGTACAAATAATTCATTAAATGCTTTTGAATGCTTGGTTTTAAGATAGGTACAATAGGGACCAGCAGTTGACGTAATGGCTATGTCGCTGGACTCCCATGTAGTGGACTGCAGTTTGAGTTCCGGACCTGGTGGCTTAAACTCATGCCAGGTGCGTGTACGTGTGCGCCCAAGATCCCAAGAGGAAAGTGGAGGAGATGGGATTGCAGCATGGCCATCCCCCCGGGGGGTGATTTCTCTCTGTTTCTCTGTCTCTTGTCTTTCTGGCGAGCACACGTGCCCTATAGCAAAAACCTCTCCCCCCAATCAAAGATAGGTACAATAACATTAAGTTTTGGAGTTTAAGACTTCTGAAAGTCATTGACTTTATTCTTTACTTTAAATGTTCAAGTGTCAGTTTGGTCAGATATTTGTTGAAAGGAAACTTGAAATTTAAGTCCAGAGAAATTTTGATATTTAGCAGACAAGATAATAAAGGATGCTTAGGATGCTTAAGTCTACCTCCTTTTCTTTTCAGATTGTTGCCAGCAAAGGAGGTTTTGAAATAGTCACCAAAGAGAAGAAATGGTCTAAAGTCGGTAGCCGCTTAGGATACCTGCCAGGAAAAGGAACCGGGTCTCTTCTGAAGTCACACTATGAAAGAATTCTCTACCCATATGAGCTTTTCCAGTCTGGTGTCAGCCTGATGGTGAGATGCATCATTCTTAGGGTAGATAAATTTGGCTTGCCAAGTATAAGCTCTAGATCGTTCATAACAAGGTAGCAGTACTTGATGCATGGCAAGGTAGAATACATTTCTCTAGACACCAAAATTTGGGGAAGCAAGATGTGTATGAAAGTTTAAAAACCATAGCTATGTTTTGTGGTTTATAAAAGATAATGGAAATGACGAGTGTTTTCTTTTTTTTTAAAGAATTATTTTATTTGACTTTATTTATTTTAATTTGACCAGAGAGGGACAGAGTGAGCAAGAGAGAGAGGGAAAGTGAGAAGGCAAGCTGCCAGGTCGGGGACTTGAACCACGGTTGGCCATGTGGGAGTCCAGTGCCCTTAACCACCATGCCACCTACTGGCTCCGAAGAGTGTTTTCTTATTTATGTAAAATCTTCATGGTGCCAGCATTTGGTATATGTCGTTGGACTCCGCATGGCGGAATATTGTTCAAGTCCCAGACCCAGTGGCTTGAAAATCATTCCAGGTACATGTGTGTGCGTGCCCATGATCCCTGGAGGAGAATGGAGGAGAAGGGATTGTGGTGTGGCCATTCTACCTGTAGGATGACTCACTTTCCTTCTCACTGTCTCTGTCTCTCTCTCTCTCTCTAGTGAGTGCATGTGCCCTATGGCAAAACTGCTTTAAAAAAAAACCCAAAAACTAAATAGATAAATCTTCATGACCTAAGCTATTTGAAAATTTCTCATTTCTTGTATTTTTTTTTTAACAGCCTTTTTGAGGTATGATTCATGTTTCATAGAATTCACCCTTCACAGAGAGTAAGCTTTAATAAATTTATACTTCACGCAGCCGTCTCCACAGTCCCCGTCCACCAGCCCAGAAGGTTCTCTCATGTTCTTTTGCAATTGGTTCCTGTTTCTGCCCCCGAACCCCAAGCAACTCCTTATTTGCTTTTTTGTGTCTATAGTCTTTGGCTTCTCCAGAAATTTTACATACCTTGGATCATGCATGATTTTGTGTCTTTTTTTCACTTAGCCTGTGTTTTCAAGACTCGTTCATTTTATAGCATGTAACAGTACTTCATTCTTTTTGTGGCTGGATAGTATTCCACTGTACGATAGCCCACATTTTCTTTATGTATTTACCACTTGATGGACAGTTGGATTGTTTCCGGTTTATGGCTGTTATGAATAATGCTATAATTATTCATGTACAAATCTTTGTGTGGACATATATTTTCATTTCTCTTGGGTAGATACCTAGGAGTGGAATTGCTGGTTTAATGGTAATCTTCTGTTTAACTTTTTTTTTAAAGAGCGATTTTTGCTACCAGATGCATGCGCTTGCCAGAGAGACAGAAACTGAGAAATCACTCCCTAGAGGTATTGCAATGCCACAATCTGTCCTCCATTCTTTTTTCAGATTCTGGCCATGCAAGCTACATGCACCCTGTGGGGGTATGGGACTTGAACCATGGGCAACTTCATGGACATCCAGCAACATAACCATTATGACATCTGCTGGTTCCAAGTTTATGTTTAACTTTTTAAGAAACTGCCAAATTGAGGGGACAAGCAGTTAGAATAATGGCTATGTCGCTGGACTCCCTCATAGTTGACTGTGGTTCGAGTCCTGGATTTGGTGACTTAAACTCATGCTAGGCACGTGTGCGTGTGTGCCAAAGATTCTGAGAGGAGAATGGAGGAGGAGTTGCAGCGTGGCCATGCCCCTGGGGGTGATTTCTCACTTTTTGTCTCTCTGTCTCTGCCTTTCTGGTGAGAGTGCACATGCCCTTTAGCAAAAACCTCTCAAAAACAAAACAAAACAAAACTGCCAAATTGTTCTCCAAAGTGGCTGAATCATTTTACATTCCTACCAGTAATATAGAGGCTTCTAGTTTCTCCATTACCAACACTTAATACTGTCAGTTAATATTTTATTTTGTTTTGTTTAATTTAATTTTTTTGGAGAGGTTTTTGCTATAGGGCATGTGCACTCACTAGAAAGAGAGAGACAAGAGAGGCAGAAAGCAAGAAATCATCCCCCAGGGGGGATGGCCACACCGCAATCCCTTCTTCTCTCTTCTCCTCTCGAGATCTTAGGCATGCACACACACGTGCATGGCATAAGTTTAAGCCACCAGGTCTGGGACTCAAACTGCGGTCGACTACATGGGAGATCAGCAACATAGCCATTATGCCAACTGCTGGTTCTGTCAGTTAATATTTTTTAAATCATAGTCATTCTTTTTTTCTTTTTAAAATTTTATTTATTTTTTAATTTGTCCAGAGAGAGTCATGGAAAGAGAGGGGGAAAGTGAGAAAGCAACCCACCAGGTCTGGTACTCAGACTGGCCGGCCCTGTGGGAGTCCAGCATCTCAACCACCATGCTACTTGCTGGCCCAATTGTAGTCATTCCAATAGGTGCTTAATGGTTTCTCATTATGGTTTTAGTTTGCATTTCCCTAATGATTATTTTATTATTTTTAAAAATTATTTAATTGTCAGGGACCAGCAGGTGGCATGGTGGTTAAGGCCCTGGATACTCCCACATAGCCAACCGGGGTTTGAGTCCTGAATCTGGTGGCTTGCTTTCTCACTTTCTCTCTCACTCTCACCCTCTGTTTCTCTCTGGTCAAACTAAAAAAAAAAATGAATGAATAAAATAAAAATAAAATAAATAATTATTAAAAAAATATTCAATTGTATTTATTCATTCACTTATTTTAAGTTGTCCAGATAGACAGAGAGAGAGAGGGAAATTGACAAAGCAAGCCACCAGGTCTGGGACTTGAACCGTGGTTAGCCATATGGGAGTCCAGCGCCTTAACCACCACGCCATCTGCTGGCTCTTCCCTAATGATTATTGATGGATATCTTTTGTGTTCATATTAGTCATTTATATATCTTTGATGAAATGTCTATTCAAGCCTCTTTTTACAGTTGGGTTGTTTTTGCCTTATGCTTGTAAGAGTTCTTCTGGACACAAGTCCTTTATCAGATACATAATTTATAGATATTTTCTCCTAGTTGGTGGTTTGTCTTTTGATTTTTATTATGTTATCTATTTGAAGAATTAATTGATTTCTTCTCTCTTTTTATGGGTTGTGCTTTTGCTGTTGTAGTTAAGAAATCTTTACCTAACCTGATGTCACAAAGATATTCTTTGTTTTCATTCGGAAGTTTTATAGTTTACCTTTTTTTTTAAGAGGTTTTGCCATAGTGTGGCATGTGCTCACTGGGGAGAGAGACAGAGACAGTGGGAGGGAAAGTGAGAAATCACCCCATGTGGGAATGGCTGCACCTTCTCTTCCATTCTTCTCCCAGGAACTTAGGCACATATTCACATGTGCCCAGTGTGATTTTCAAGCCACTTGGAATGGGACTCGAACAGTGGTTAATCATGGAGGAGTCCAGCAGTGCAGCCGTTATGCCATCTGCTGGCCCTTCTAGTTTCAACCTTTATATAGAGGTCTATGATGCATTTTGAGCAATTTTTCTTTGCACGTAAGTTCTGAGCATATTATTTTATGTATATGTGTGGAGGAGGTATATGAATATTCATTTCTGCCAGAACTATTTAAGACAGTCCTTTTTGCATTGACTCACTTTGTTGACCGTAGATTTTGGGTTTATTCCTGGACTCTGTCTCATCCTATTGGTCTTACCCTAACACCATTACTACACTGTCTTGTGCTGTGGCTGTATGGTGAGTTTCGATAGCCAGTAGTGTAAGTCCTTTTCCTTTTAAAATGTCCAAATTTACACTTCCACATAAGTTTTAGGATCAACTTTCAATTTATATTTTGGAAAAAAGAACCTGCTGGGATCTTCATAGGGATTTCCAGTCTGCAAACTGCCCTCTATTCATGTGGTTTAGGAGTTTTCTGGAATTTATTATTTTTTCACTGATTTTTGCGTCTTATTTCTGATCAGCGAATCTGCTTTCTGTGCTCTGATCTTTTAGGGTGTACAAATGCCTAATTTAGATCTTAAGGAAAAGGTGGAGCCCAAGGTTCCCAGCACTGATATTCACACTTCCCCAGAGCCAGGCACGAGAATGAACATTCTGCCGAAGAGAACAAGACGTGTCAAATCTCAGGTATTACATATCTGTGATCATTTTTTTTTTTTAATTGACAGTGCATGTGTACAAGGGGAGAGAGAGAGGTGCACCTTCCACAGGGCTCAGCCATATCCCAGTTCCTTCCCCAGCCCTCCAGCCCACCAGGATCCTGGGTACACACACGTGACTAGTGTGTTTTCAGGCCAATCTGGCTGGAGACTCAAAACTGTGGCTGACACATGCCTTCCAGCTTCATAGTCCAGTATACGATATGTATACACCTGTGCTGTAGAGTCTGCTCCCAGGCCTGCTGTTTTTTTAAAAGAATTATTTATTTAATTCCATTGGTGATTATTATTTTTAATTTGACCAGAGAGAGAGAGACAGAGAAAATGAGAAAGCAAGCTGCCAGGTCTGGGACTCGAACTGTGATTGGCCGTGTGTGAGAGTCCAGCACATACACAGAAATTTTTTTGCTATAGGGCACATGTGCTCGCCTGAGAGATAGAGACAGAGATAGAAAGCAAGAAATCACCCCCTGGGGGGATGGCCACACCACAATCCCTTTTTCATTTTTCTCTTGGGAATTTGGGCACACATGCACACACACTTGGCATGAATTTTAAGCTTCTGGATCTGGGACTCGAACCATGGTCAACTACGTGGGAGTCCAGGGACATAGCCTTTATGCCATCTGCTGGTCCCAGTAGTGCCAGTTTTAATGCCAGTTTTATAGACACAAATTGTAATGCATTTTATTTTCATGATTAGAAGTGGGAAGAATAGGAAAAGGTGGTTTTATTTTTACTCACTATTCCTTTAAAAGCCAGAGTGTACTGCTTATTAGCCATAGCACTGGTATACTAAATTCAATGTGCCTGAAACATAACTTACTGCCACCTTTTTACTTTTTACCGATCTGTTTCTTTTCTTTTCTTTTTTTGGAGAGGTTTTTGCTATAGGGCGCGTGCACTCGCCAGACAGACAGAGAGAGAGAAAGTAAGAAATCACCCCCTGGGGGGATGGCCATGCCGCAGTCCCTTCTCTAGTCTCCTCTCTGGATCTTGGGCACGCACGCACACGCGCCTGGCGTGAGTTTTAAGCCACTGGGTCCGGGATGCGAACCGCAGTTGACTATGTGGGAGTCCAGCGACATAGCCATTATGCTGACTGCTGGTCCCAGATCTGTTTATTTTCTTATTTAAAGTTTTTGCTGAGGGCACATGCCCTGACCAGTGAGAGGGACTGTGAGGAACTCCGGCCCCAGCCAGGGAGGTGGCCCTGCTGCGCGCTCTTCCCATTCTCTTGCGATTTGGGGCATGTACATTCATGTGTCTAGTGTGATTTTCAAGCTGCCAGGTCCAGGACTCGACCCCCAGAGTTGGCTATGAGGTATCCAGTGCCTTAACTACTACACTGTTGACCCAATTTTTAATTTTTTAATTGCCCGAGGGCATGTTCTCTAAGGGAGGAGAAACTACCCACCAATGGGGCATGGTTACTCCACAGTCCCTTCTCCATTTCTCTCTTTCTCTGGGATTTTAGGTACAAATACCTGGTGTGTTTTTCAGGCCACTGAGACTGAGATTTGAATTGTGGAATTCAGTTTTCTTCACTATGTTGTGGGGCCAACCCAAACTATATTTTTGGTTTTTCACCAATTTTTTCCTTTTATTTCCAGAGGATGCTTCACTAGAAAGGAGGGGGGAAGAGACAAAGAGGGGAAGAAATAGAGAGAGAGAGAGCCCGGCAATAGGGCATGGTCATGTTGCAATTAGGATTTGGGGGTGTTTCTTAAGATGCTGACGCTGGGATTTGAGCCATGGCCAGATGCGTGGAATCCAAATGCCTTAACCACTGAGCTATTGTCTGGCCACTTATTACCACCTTTTTTAAAAAAGAAGTTTAGCCTAGGGACCTGCAGATAGTATAAAGGTTACATTGTTGGGCTCCCACATATTTGACCGTGGTTCAAGTCCTGGACCTAGCAGCTTGAAACTTAGGCTGGGTGCGTGCACAAAATCCCAAGAGGAGAAGGGTGGTGGGCGGCATGGCCATCCACCTCCGGGGATGATTCCTCATTTCTGTCTCTGACTCTCTGTCCAGCACTTATGACCTATGGCAAAAATCTCTCTCTTTTTTTTTGGAGAGGTTTTTGCTATAGGGCCCGTGTGCTCGCCAGACAGAGAGAGACAGAGACAGAAAGCGAGAAATCACCCCCTAGGGGGGATGGTCATGCCACAATCCCTTCTTCTCCATCCTCTTGAGATCTTGGGCACACACACACATATGCACCTGGCATGAGTTTAAGCCACCGGGTCTGGGATGTAAACTGCGGTAGACTACCTGGGAGTCCAGCGACATAGCCATTATGCTAACTGCTGGTCCTGCAAAAATCTGTTTTATTTATTTAAAAAAATTTTTTTTCCTTCTCTTTTTGGAGAGGTTTTTGCTATAGGGCGCGTACACTCTCCAGACAGATAGAGACAGACAGAGAGATAGAAAGCGAGAAATCATCCCCCAGAGGGGATGGCCATGCTGCAATCCCTTCTCCTCCATTCTCCTCTCGGGATCTTGGGCACGCACGCACACATGCCCGGCATGAGGTTAAGCCACCGGGTCCGGGACTCGAACCGCCGTCGACTACGTGGGAGTCCAGCGACATAGCCGTTACGCTAACTGCTGGTCCCAAGCAAAAATCTGTTTTAAGAAGAGTTTTTTGCCTTAGGGTGTGTGTGCTCCCTGGGAAGAGAGAGAGACAGTGACAGAGATTTCATCAGAAATCATCACCACCCTCCCCCCAAAGATGGCTCTCCCATGGGAGATGGCCACACCACAGTCCCTTCTTCTTTGTCCACACAGGATCTTAGGCATGTATACACACATGCCTGATATGATTTTCAAGTCACCGTGTCCCGGGCTTGAACCATAGTTGGCCATGTGGGAGTCCAGTGTCGTTACCCAGCACGTCCAGAATTATTTATTCCGTCTCTCCAGTGAGCGCATGTGCCTTATAGCAGAATCTCTCAAAAATTTATTTATTTATTATTATAAGTATTTTAAAATTTGCTATGGTGTATGTGTGCTTACCAGAGAGAGACAGAGAAAGAGAAAGAAGGGGGAAAGAGAAAGCAAACGTAGGTCCAGGATTCGAATTGGGATCAGCCATGTGGGAGTCTAGCACCTCAACCTCCACGCCACCTACTGGCGCCTACTCAGCAGTTTGTAACATTCATTGATATCCTTGACTGAATTAGTCATCGGTGGTTGCAAAGTGATAATTTTCTAGTTTCATCATTTCTTCTACATTAGCTGACTTTTTCCTCTAAAGATGAGCTTTCCTTTCCTACGTTTTGTATTGAGATAACATCCTCCACATATTTAAGTGTGTGGTCTGCATTAACATACGCTCTTTCAGGCCACGATAGACACCCTCTCCCCCCTTACTCTTTTAGTTCCACTGTGAACCATGAGTGTTTTCTCAGTGCACTATCTTACAATCCGTTACCACCTTTATTCTTTTTTAAAAAATTTTTATTTATTCATTCATTTATTTTCAATTTGACCAGAGAGAGACACACAGAGAAAGAGAGAGAGGGAAAGTGAGAAAGGAAGCCACCAGGTCCAGGACTCAAACCCTGGTCAGCCATGTGGGAGTGTTCAGCTCCTTCACCACACCACATGCCCATCCCCCTTTGTTCTTTTTAAAATCATCTAATTCTGAATTTGGCTAATGGGAGTCCCTTTAGGCTAGTTCATGTTTTCGGTTAACATGTCTCCATTAGTGTTTGAGCACTTACTATTTGGCACAGAAAAGCTGCTTTCCTTCTTGCCCTGCCTTAGACTTGTAATTAAATATTCCTCCAAGGGATTCTGGTTTATTTTATTTGGAACTGATAAATAGAAGCCATGGTCTGAATACAAGTGTGCCTGTTCCTACTAGACTATCTTTGCTTTTGGCCCCTTCTAATTGACAGGGATAGAAAAGAAATGTTTAAAAATGATGACTTGGGACCAGCAGTTAGTGTAATGGCTGTGTTGCTGGATTCCCACGTAGTCGACTGCGGTTTGAGTCCCGGACCCGGAGGCTTAGACTTACACCGGGCACGTGTGCGTGTGTGCCCAAGATCCCGAGAGGAGAATGGAGGAGAAGGGATTGCGGCGTGGCCATCCCCTCTGGGGGGGGTGACTTCTCACTTTCTGTCTCTCTGCCTGTCTCTGTCTGTCTGGCGAGTGCACGCACCCTAAAGCAAAAAAAAATGATGACTTCAGGGACCAGCAGATGGCGGAACGGTTACGTTGCTAGACTCCCGTGTAGTTGGCTGTGGTTCACATCTTGGACCCAGTGACTTAAAACTCCCTCAACTGTGCGTGTGTGCCCAGGATCCCAAGAGGAAGATGGAGGAGAAGGAACTGCAGCTTGGCCATCCCCCCAGAGGGTGATTTATTTCTTTCTGTCTCACTGTCTGTCTCTGGCGAGTACATGTGCCCTATAGCATAAATCTCTCAGAAAGAAAAATTATGATTTCATATTTTGAGTTCATTCATATTGATAGTTCTAGTTCTAACCTAGTAGCACAAAGTTCTTTTGGTTTATATTATAGTCTTTTCCTAATGTTTTGAGTTGGGAATTTACTTCCTTAATTTTTTCCTTTTTAATTTTCTTTCTTTTGTGATAATAGAGGGGAGGAGGTAAAGAAAGATATATATATATATATATATACACACACAGTTTTTTATTTATTAAAAAAATCTTTTCAAAAAACTATTTAATTTTTTTATTTTTTTAATTTGTTGTAGAACTTGTGTGCTCATCAAAGAGATAGAGACAGGGAGAGGGAGAGAGTGAAAAAGCAAGCCTCAAAGTCTGGGACCCGAATTGCAGTTGACCTTGTGAGAGTCCAGTGCCTTAATACTATACCCCCTGCTGACCCAAGAGATAGGTATTTCTGACAGGGTCTTGCTGGGTCACCATTCTCCTGCCCCAACCTTGAATTAGGTAGGCTTCGCATCTGTGTCTGTTCCTGAGTGTTTAG